AAATATTTATTTATTTATTTGAAAGTCAGAGTTACACACAGAGAGAAGGAGAGGCAGAGAGAGAGAGAGGCAGAGAGAGAGAGAGAGATATGTTCCATCCATTGGTTCACTCCCAATTGGCCACAATGGCCAGAGTTGCACCGATCTGAAGCCAGGAAGCAGGAGCTTCTTCTGGGTCTCCCACGTGAGTGCAGGGGCCCAAGGATTTGGGTCATCTTCTACTGCTTTCCCAGGCCTCAGCAGAGAGCTGGATCGGAAGTGCAGCAGCCGGGATTTAAACCGGCATCCATCTGGGATGCTGGCACTGGAGGCATCAGCTTTACCTGCTATGCCACATTGCCGGCCTCAAGGGCAGCTTTTTTTTTTTTTTTTTTGGTTTAAGATTTATGATTTATGTATTTATTTTAAGGTGGGAGGATGGGGGCAGCAGTGCGGGGTTGGGAGGGGAGGGAGGGAGGGAGAAAAAAGGAAAACCTTCTACTGCTGGTTATTATATATGACACAGGCAGGCTGTCCAGGCCGAGCAGGAGCTTGACATACCAAGTCTCCCACACAGGTGCAGGGACCCACACAGTTGGGCCATCCGCTGCTGCTTCCCCAGGTGCATGAAGAGGGAGCTGGGTTGGAAGGGGAGCAGCTGGGGCTTGAACTGGAGGCCTGAAGGGCAGGTGGCAGCCTGGCTCAGCACACCAGCCCTGCAAGCCTGTGGAGGCTAAACGTTTACTCCCTTGGTGCCTCATTAACTCCTCTGTGACTCGGTTTTCTCACCTGTGGAAGAGGTTCCTTAAGATCGCTGCTGGGTCTCCCGCAGATCCTCTGAGTCTTTGGTTTTGATGGAGCCTCAGAGTGGTGGGTTTGGAACATACAGGTCCCTTTGCCAGTGGAGTCAGAAGTCTCCTGGGCCAGTGCAGTGAGGGGCACCAGTCACCAACCCACCACCCAGAGGACTGACAGACACAGGAAGGTGGTGGCGCTGGAAGTGTCACACTGATTTGAGACTGTGGACAATCCGGTTTTACATTTAGTCTGTGTTGTCTGCCACGCGCCACGGCTCAAATCCGCCGCCTCCCTTTTCCGTTCTGCACTGCAGTGGAAATGTCCACTTGGGCCTGAGGCAAATGAAGACAAATGTGCCTCCATCAGCCTGGGAGCTCTGGCTGCAAGTGGCCTTGTCTCGCTCTTGGACATCTCCAGCCAGGCCCCAAGGCCATCTTTGCTGGGATCCATCTTCGATCACGAATCCCAAATGTCCTCTCAACACGGTCGGGCAGCCCAGTTTCTTTAGTAACTGTTTAATTCTGTAGTCTTCTCCAACTGGTCCCGAGCTCCCCTGCACATCCATTTTGCCTCCTGGCCGAGAAGATGGAAGCCATCATTTAGGGATTCCCTTGTCTTCCCAGCATTGACTCTGCAGGCTAACTTCACACCCATTCCACATACCTCCTCCTGCAGGGCTGACAGCTCCCTCTTGTCTTCTCAAGGATCTAATTCCCTCTCTCTCTCTTGTCCTTTCTCTCTCCCCCCTCCCACTTTCCACCTCTCTGAATTCCCATTTCTTGCTTCTTCAACCTTCCCTACTCCTGAACAGGAAACTCCTAATAAGACACATCCAAGCCCTAACCCCTAGGACCTGCAAGGGTGACCTCAATTGAGAAAAAACAAAAAAAGGGAATTTGCAGATGTAATAAGCATTACTGGATGAGATGATCCAGGATTTAGGGTGCATATTAAGTCCAAAGACAGGTGTCCTCATAAGAGAAAGGGAGTGGGAGACTGGAGACCCAGGAAAACCACAGGAGGGCAGGCCAGGAAAAGGAGACAGGGACTGGAGTGATGTGTCTCCAGGCTAAGGAACACCAGGGGTTGCGAGCAGTCACCCAAAACAGGAAGGGGCAGGTGAGGATTCCCTGTAGAGGCGTTTAGGGGAGTGCCACCTGCTGGATTTTGGACTTCTGGTCTCCAGGACAATGAAGGAACAAACCTATGTTGTTTGAAGTCACCTAGGCAACCAGGAGTCATCGATGAGCTCCCACAGCTTGAAAAACCAGGCTCACTACCATCTCCTTTCGCTTTGCATCACCATTGGGTTCAGTTGGCTGCTCCTCCCTTCAGCCAGCCAGCCAGCCGTGGTTTTGACTTCCTGGATGTGCGTAACTTTCTCTTGGATTCTCTTTTCTGTGAATGCTGCATCTTAGGGTCCCTTGCCAGCTTTCTGCTTCTACCCAACCTGTCCCTTTGCATTCTCTCCTCTGATCACAACCGTGCCTGTGGCCCTACAGAGCACCTGCATCCTCTTGAATCCAAAACTGGTATCTTCAGCTCATTCCTGCTGGTAGCTTCCGCCACGTGTACACATCCACCATGCGTACATACTGTGTGTGGGCACCATGACTTCTTGACAGAGCAGCTCACACATTTCATAGTAATCGCCTAGGTGAGCAAACATAGATGGGCCAAGTAGACCTTTTTTGGGCATACTTTTATTTGATTTATTTATTTATTTAAACAGGCAGAGTGGACAGTGAGAGAGAGAGAGAAAGGTCTTCCTTTGCCATTGGTTCACCCTCCAATGGCCGCCGCAGCTGGCGCACTGCCGCTGGTGCACCGCGCTGATCCAAAGCCAGGAGCCAGGTGCTTATCCTGGTCTCCCATGGGGTGCAGGACCCAAGCACTTGGGCCATCCTCCACTGCATTCCCAGGCCATAGCAGAGAGCTGGCCTGGAAGAGGGGCAACTGGGACAGAATCCGGCGCCCTGACTGGGACTAGAACCTGGTGCTTAGTGCCGGCGCCGCTAGGCAGAGGATTAGCCTATTGAGCCGTGGCGCCAGCTATTTGATTTATTTTTAAGCTCAATTTATCCCCAGGCCACAACATTTTGTTTCTTCAGTTTGTTCTGTGCAACTTCCTCCATTGGCTTAGAAACAACTATTATTATTTTTTTTTAAGTAAGGAATCATCTCTGTGTGGCACAGGAGCTCACACATGTGTTGATCTGAGCATGAACTCTTTAAATATAGTGGACATCTTGGGTGCTTTATTCACTTGGACGTGTGCAACAGGCACAGAGTCAACATTGAGCCCTGCATTTTTCAGCATGTGCATCAAAAATGCTGCATTCTTTTTGGGCCACTAACCCAGTGTTCAGCCCCACCGTTTGGCCAGGCCTCATCTCCCAACTCCACCACTGATAGGACAGAATGGCTCACACTGCTTTTTTGATGGGACGTCTTTCAGGAGCTTGGTGGCTTATTGGCTATGCATGCCCTTGATGGCCTGGGCAGTTTCCCTCATGTTCTTAAAGTGAGCGTGAAGATTTGAACATCTTGGTTTGCATAGTTTTGTGGGGTTTTCTGGTCCAAATGAACACTGAATCCTTTTCAGAGATCATCTCAGGCAGTGTATGTAAAGAGCTTCCAGATGGAACTTCTGATCACCCAGCCCTCTTCCTACAAGCCTCCTGTTCTTCCTTTGGTTTTCCTCATCTGTAGAAAGGACACCCCCACGCAACACAACTGTTCTACTAGCAACCCGGGGGCCAGTCTTTCCCAAAACAGGTCTTGCCAATCGGACCTCTGAAATACCTCTTGAACCTATTAATTTCTCTTGACGGCTACCATCATCATTCTGGGACTGCACCGACTGTATCGGTCAGCTTTTTGGGACTATGATGAAATACCCGAGGTAACTTACATTATAGATAAAAGGTTGAGTTAGCTCACAATGTTGGAGGTTCAAGTCCCAGAGCGGACAGCCAGGTTGTTGGGGGTGGTGTTGGCAACAGTCAAGTGTGCACAGAAGGACTTCGTGGTGACCCAGGAAGCAGAGAGTGGGTGAGTCAGAACTCAGGCTTTTTTCATAGTCTTCAGTGACCCAGACCCCACATCCTAAAGGTCCCACCACCTCCCAACAGCACCACCATGGGGACAAAGCCCTTCACATGTATGCCTTTGGGAATGCAACGTCAAACAAATATCCTGAACCACAACACTAACATTATTTCTTATCAGGTGTCTTACAGCCCCTCCTGATTCTCCACGCAGCAGCAAGGGTGCTCTCTTAACAGATCAGACCATGGCATATCCCGACATACAGCCCTTCCAAAGATGCCCCATCGAATGTAGCACAAAATTCAAACTCTGTGGTGCCTTTTGCAGCCTTGTTGCTACCTTCTGTCCATCTCTCTGCCCCTGCTCTGTCCCCATCCTTCAAGATTCAAGAATTCACAAAGCTTTTGCTATGTGTGATAATCTCCCCCTTTTAAATAAATGTCTCATAGTTTCATCTTTCTGCATATTTTTAAAAGATTTATTTATTTGAAAGGCAGAGTGACAGAAAGAGAGGGACAGACAGACAGACACGCATCTGCTGGTTCACTCCCTGAATGCTTGCAACCACTGGGGCAAGGCCAGGCTGAAGCCAGGAGCCAGGAACTCCATCAGTGTCTCCCACGTGGGTGACAGGGACCCAACTACCTGGGCCATCTTCTGCTGCCTTTCCAAGTGCATTAACAACAAGCAGAGGTGGGACTCAATCCCAGGCACTTTGATACGGGAGGCAGGTGTCCCAAGCGGCTGTATAACCTGCCGGGTCACAATGCCCGCCCTGCCTGTGGTCACTTTAGACTGGATACCCTGGCTGCCTCCTCTGGTCCCGTCTGACATCACCGTTTTTGTTCACAGAACTTGATTCTTGGCACCACAGCATCTGCCAGCATCTGTAACCACACATTCCCTGGTGTGCGTCTACTTGCTCTCCTTGTTTACTGGGTTGCTTCCACGGCTGGGGCCGTGTCCGCTTTTCCTCACTGAGCACAGAGCACCCAGCTCAGGTGCAGGCCAGAGGACGTGCTATAAATATCTGCTGAATGGAGCCAGTGTTCTCTTCTACTCCTGCCTCAAATGTTTTGTTCTAGCACGGGCGCTCTTCCTTGGAGAACCCCGTCACCCAAAAGGAAAAAAAAAATCTCAAACTGAAATTTTAGGAAAAGCCAAAGACTTCATTTTACAAACATATAAATTATTTTATTTACAAAGCCATGTTACAAAAAAAATACAATCACTCACTGGAGAATATTTCCAGGCCTGGTGCTGTACCATGGCAGTATCAATAGATACGTGTTTTGTTCTTTCCTCTGAAAACCGTGAGCTGTAGAGTTCACTATTTACACCTACTGCAGAGTTTGTTCTGCGTAACGATAGCACAGGCATGGAATGCATCCTATCTGATAGTGCGAGGGAGGGAGACGCGTAGTGTTACAGAAGGCGCGCCGCAGAAAACAAACCCACTCCACGGGGTGGCGTCTGCTTAGGGTGATCGGACATGCTTTCTTCAAAATTCTTCTGGAGAAGCTTCTAAAATCGAGAGTAGGGAAAGGACAAATGAGCAGGTGCAAATTCTTGGCTGTGTGACAACAGTTATTTAATCTACCCCATGACGGACCAGCTACGTAAAACCCACAGAGTTTCCGTTAAAGTGCCATGGGCCGACAGCATAACAAAATATAAGGTGTCAATAGAAAATTTCTTTTGTTTCCTTTTTCAAAACAAGAGTTCACTGAGAATCAGCAATAATAGAATATGCTGTATAAACTATTCTCTACAAAGGTCGATCCGAGTTATTTACAATTGGTACGTCGATACAAAAGAAGGCATACAAGTTATCCAGGTCGCTTGTTTTTGTTTTATGGCTGACAGGTCTACGCGCTGCGTGATGCTTAACAGCCAGAGCTTTCGGGCCTTGGCGGCTGGCGACAAGACATCAGGAGCTCTTCAGGCAAGACGGGGGTGTGCGCAGTCAGGGGGCCCGGCGGGGCAGACCGAGCACCGAGCACCCAGCACCCAGGCGCGCGCCACGGAAGAACACCGAAGACCTCCCCCTCGGACCGCTTTTTCACGGTCTGGTCCGGTCGAACTCCGAGAAATCAAACCCAAAGAACACCTCAGCTCTGCGTTCTGTTTCCAAGCCGCAAGTCTTCAGTCCATCGCCGTAACGTAAACATGGGGTGGGTGGCAAAGGAGGAAGTACGGCGGGGTGGGGGGAGGGAGGGTTTCCCTTTTTGTTCGGTTTTCCAGAAATGTCCTCACCTTGGTCAGAGCCCGTCTCTCAGCGGTGTGAGCAGCGTTCGGTGGGGAGCCTCTCGAGTCCAGCTTCCCAGGCGAGACGTGGAGAGGAAGATGTTGGAACCCACTGACCCGCCCCGGGAGTCCCTGTCCGGGCATTTTTCGCAGAAGCAGCCGCTTCGTCGTGCCACCTTGTACCCCCTCTCTGAGTGCAAGAGTTTGTAGATCAGCGGGTTCTGTTGCTGAGATTTTGTTTTGTTTTGTTTTTTACTCCTGAAAGTTTTTCCAACTCAAAATAAATTATAAAAAACAAGACTTCTAAAACCAAACGAGACAAAAGTTGTGCAAAAAATAACAAAGATATGTACACACTTTTCAGTCTGAAGAAATGTACAATAAAAACATAATTCAAAGAACGTTTTTAAAAATAGAAACATTGCTTAAACTTTCCTAAGTTTCATATTGTTTCTGAAACTATTCTGGTCAGTTAGCTCTGCAATATAGTAAAACATAAATTATTACAAAATTAACACTATAAAAATTTACTTTAAGAATATCTTCTAAATTTTTTTCCAAAGGGTCTAACCTTGTTTATAATTTCTTAAACATTTATAAGTCTTAAAATCTGCCTTAAGTTTTTTTTTTAAGAAGAAAAAGTAACATTCATCCCTTCAGTTTGTAGTCTTTTCCTTTTTTCCCCCAAGACATAAATAAACCAGCATCTAAGTGCACTTTTAACACTGTAGAAATAAAAATGAAATCATCTGAACTCATGTCCTGGTGTTTGATAGCAACTCCTGATTTTAAAAACATCTTCATTTCATATTAAAAAGGTTTGAAATCCTCTAAGAAACACTGTCAGTGCAATTCCACGGAGGCAAAGCACTCCATCTGCCTCGAGTCTTTGCGGATTCGGATTGTGTGGTGAAGCTTAGCAGTAGTCTCATCTTTGGGCTGGGGGAGGGGACAGAAAGAGAATCTTCTGGGTGCGGATGAGGCCTGTGCCCAGCAAGGCCACGAGCAGTGCACTCACGTGGGACCTGAGGCTGGGGCAAACCCTCCCAGCATCCCTGCTGTGTCTCGGGCTAGGAGCCTACATGGCTGGCGCAGAACACCTAGTTGCTACCGTGATCTCCCAACCTGGTTACCACTGCCTGCCAGAGCTTATGGTATTGCTGGTTCTTTTCAAAACTCCAGTGTGATCAGTTCTACAGCTACGGGGCTCCAATGTTCCTGGCTCTTCCAAGTGGTTCCTTCTGGGACGGCTGGTTCTGAGTCGGCGCACCTGGCAGTGCAGGGGGCGTGGGGAGGACAGCAAATGCTAGCACTGATTTTCCCAAGGGGTTCAACACATTAACCACCCCCCAGAAGCCTGGACAGCTGCTGGAAGGCCGTTAGCAGCAGTGGTCCCCAGGGAGTGGCTGCCTGGTATCCCCCTCTCTCTCCGGCTCACTCAGCTCCGCACCCCGGGATGGATTCTGCAGAGTGGACTCCTAACACAGGTATCCAGTTCTCACCGTCTTTGGTGGGTTATGGTCCCCTACCTCTCATGCTCTGCTTCCTGCCACCCTCCTAGGCCACTGCAGCCCCTGTCCCTGACCCAGCTGCTTAGCTGGAAGTGACATTGGATAAACCACACCATTAAATGGCCGGTTCTCTATGCTGCCCCCAGCACTGGGCTCCAGCCATGGTGGGCTGCAGAAACCTGATGAGAGCACCCTACCCCTCCCCTGCTCTCAGCTCCCCAGCGTGCTGTCTGGAGGGACCTGTGGACAGCCAGCTCCCTCTGAAGAGCAGCGGGGACTCAGGGAGTGGCAGGTGGAGGCTGGAAGGGAAGGGGTGGGAGAGGACCAGGAAGCAAAGCGTTCTGCAGGTGCTAAAGTTCAAGAGCTTTAGATGGAGCAGGCCCGGAAGTGACACTCTGCCACGCCTGCCGTCCGGGCTGCAGCAAAACAACGGGGTGCCATAGCAGCATCAGGAGCTGGGGAGGGACTCCCACATGTGGAAGATGTATACGCGTGGTAAACGGAAGGAAAGACAACGGAAACAAAACACTGGCATTGTTTGCTGCAAGTATCAGATTCACGGTCTCTTGCCTTTTTCTTTGAAAATAAAAATTGGTTAATTTTTCAAAAATTTAGGAGAAGAAAGGCCAGAGCCACAGGCAGGGCACGGGAAAACAGCTTCTCTCCCACGGCTCAGTCCCCTCCCCCTCCTCCCGCCTCGGCCTCCCGAGGCACGACCAGGAAGCCTGGAAGTGGTTTGGAAGTGGCTTCGCAGTCTTGTTATGGAAGAGTCCTTATCCTGCCAGGTCTGTTTGTGTTCTTCTAGGAAAGAAAAGAAAATCTGTCTCAAAACCACACATTTGCGGGGACCCACGCGCGTTCCAGGCCGCGGCCCCGCCTTCTCCTCTGGGGCAGGAAAGGTGACGCCCCACACCTGTGTACAGCTTTGACAAGCGAGGGGAGTGACTCCACACATGCCGTGTCAGGTGGTCACAGAGAGCCCAGCCCCCAATGCAGTGGAGATTCATGGCGACGGGGATGAGCGACATCTTTTTTGTTTTTCTCTATTAGTTCACCTATTCCCATGCAGCTGGTAGATGAGACAGTGAGTTATTTAAGGAAGAAGCACCGATTTGGGGTGCACATGGAGGCTTTGCAGATCTGGATTCTGGGCTCAAGTTACTAAGTTAGCTCCTTAGTCCAGCCATCTTCATCTATCACAAGGGTGTGACAATCTTGTCCCCCACAGGGCTGCTAACAGGTTTAAATGTATGCGACAAATATAAAGGACTCAACAAGTGGCCGCTAGTGTTGTTACTGTATTTGTCAGGGCTGACCCGGCATTTTGGGTTTGCCGGAGGTGCGCCTGGAGCTATACGTGCGCCATGCTTGGTAAGGGCAAGAGGCCTGGTAGGCACAGGCCAACTGCCTGAGCATGGACCTGCCTCCCTCCCCGCCTCAGCTTCCATGATGGACTACAGTTGCCCAGGGGTGATAAGGGCCTTAGTGACGCAGAACACTGGGGAGACACCCCTGGCTCTGGGCATACAAAAACTTTTTTTTTTTTTTTTTTTGCCATAGTTTTTGCCCAGGCTCTAGCCCAAGATTTGTGGAAAAATCCCAAAGGGTAAAATGCAGATGGAACAATTGCTATTTGGTGTCTACAAAACGTAAGGCACATTGAAGACAGCGGAACAACACAGCTAACATAAGGGTACTTTGAGAAGTTCATGGAAGATGAGACTCAAGGGTAGGTTTTTCTAGCAACCTTCTGAAGTGCCCTAGTGTGTGTGTGTGCACACGTGTGTATGTATCTGCCAGTCATGTATCAGTCACAGCCCTACCTCCCGTGCTCCCCCAGACACACCCGCTCCACTGGAGCAAATCATTTGTCATTGGGTTTACCCAGTGATGACTCCCATGTCTCAAGTTCAAAAACCTGCCAAGTCTACCCTGCGTTATCCCCACCACACAGCGGAACCCAAGCAGTAGCTCCAGCTTCCGGAGGCCTTTGAGGAAAACATGGATGGACACTCGCCCTGGGCCACGTGCTTTAGACAACAGCATCTGATTTCATTTCACAACAGCCTTAGGAGGTCGGTATTCAGTTCACCATCTGGCAGATGAAAAACCCGAGGGTCAGAGAAGTAGCCTGCCTAGGATCACACAGCTGGTCATAACCACAATAGCTCACACTACGTGTTTGTTCCATATCAAGCATTTTCCAGAGGCTTTGAGTGAATGAAAGTGATTTTATCCTCACAAAAGCCATACGCGGGAGGGCCATTGTGAGCCTCACTTTATAGAGGAGGAAATGGGAGAGCACAGAGAAGTTAGGGAACTTGTCCAAGGGCACACAGCTCGTGAGTGCAAGGTGCAGACTAGGACGCCAGCCAGCTGTGCTCTCTCCTGCAGGTGATACTTGACCCAGGGCCTGTCCCTAATACCCACGCTCCTTCCGCTCTGCTGACAACTCTGGAGCCGTGTCCCTTGGTCACTTACCGGTCGGCTGTGTCCTGGGCTGGATATGCTCGAAGGGCTGGACTGTGACAAAGCTAGGCTGCTATTTTTCCCAACCTGAAAGACACCAGCGAAGCCTTGCTCAGACACTGGTGCCAGCGTAGGCCAGGCCCACCGACAGCCTGTGCGGCATGCCTCACTCCCTCGCGGCGCTTCGGAACTGGCGTTTCCATCTTAGATCACGGAGAGAATGCACACGTTCCGGAGCGTGCCTCCAGGATGCCGCTCTCCTTCCCCAAGGATGAGCGGAAGGGCGGGGGACTCCCAACTCTGCCCGTTCCAGACGTGAGGATGAAGGCATCTGGTCCCAAGCCAGGTCCCTCCTGGGAGCACTGGGGCTCGGCTTTCGCCACTGCGGCCCACGGGTCACACAAGCTCACTTGCCTCGGACCCGCGGTCCCAGACCCATCTCGCTGCTAGCCCAGACTCCCTGGGACCAGCTGTGGATCCCACACCTGGATCTTCTTCTGGGTCCGCTTTCCCGGCCAGGAGACACAGTGGTGACACAGCAGTGCTGGGCTTCCCCTTAAGGGCAGGGCAGGGCAGGAGGATGTGCCTGAGCTGGGGTCCCCAGAAGGCAACACAGGGCATGTGACGGCGGTGGCTGGGCTCTTCCCCTTCCTCTGAGACTGTGCTAGGCACGCACTGGGCTGGCTCCCCATGGGTGGATACCAGGCACTACCCCCGCCGTCCCCATCGCGTCTGCCTTTGGCCCATCAGCAGCTCACCCTGCACATTGACCCACCTTGGCATACTGACACGTGCAGGGCATTCACAGCCCAACGTAATACCTCTGTGGCCAACTAAGCAACTAAACAGAGCCCTGAGCTGTCCCCAAAGCAGAAGCTTATCTGGGCCTCTTGACAATGTGCTTGGCCTCTCTGCTAAGGGAATCAACACAGACACCAAAGGTCCTCTCCTTGTCCCGACACCTGGAGATCACCAGTGGTGACGCTGGTCAAAGCCTTTCTTAAAAAGTGTCAAGCACCAGGCTGGCGCCACGGCTCACTTGGCTAATCCTCCGCCTGCAGCACCAGCACACCGGGTTCTAGTCCCAGTTGGGGCGCCGGATTCTGTCCCGGTCGCTCCTCTTCCAGGCCAGCTCTCTGCTGTGGCCCAGGAGGGCAGTGGGGGATGGCCCAAGTGCTTGGGCTGCTGCACCTGCATGGGAGACCAGGAGGAAGCACCTGGCTCCTGGCTTCGGATCGGCACAGCACTGGCTGTGGTGGCCATTAGGGGAGTGAACCAACGGAAGAAGACCTCTCTCTCTCTCACTATAACTCTCCCTCTCTCTCTCTCTGTCTAACTCTGCCTGGCCAAAAAAAAAAAAAAAAAAAAAAAAAAAAAGTGTCAAGCACCGAGGCACCACTGCATTAAGGACTCATGGTGGCCAGGACCCATGGCGGCCGTGAGATCATCCATGTGTGTGGCTCCCCTCCTCGTGGGCGCTCTCCAGGGGAGGCACATCTGCTCTCCACACTCTGGGCTGACTCATCGTATTTACTGTGCATTTTGTACAGTCCCACGGACCCAAGAACCAGCAGAGCAACAGTGACTCAATGCCGAAGCACCCTGTTCGCGGCATGGAGGCTAAGGGCCCGCACTGCACAGCCAGAATGCCTGCCTGGGTTTACATCCCGGCCCTGCTGTTTACTTGCTGAGTCCCTTGCTTAGCCTTCTGGTGCCTTGGTTTTCTCATCTGTAAAATGGGGGTAATAGCAGGTGGTTATTACATGAGTTAATGCACATGCCATGCTCGGGGCAGAGACCACCACCTATGCCAGCTGCTGGACTCCGCCTAGCATGCATGACACACACTGCGTGGCCTTGCTGCTCAAGGTGTCATCTGCAAACCAGGGGCAGAGGCACTGGAGGAAGTGCAGGCTCCTGGGTCCCACCCCCAAGGGCTGCTCTCTCCGAATCTGCATTGTCACAGGCTCCCAGGGGCTGTGTGCCCGTACACTGGAGTTTGAGGAGCCCTGACTATGTTCTGCCCTCTGTCCTGAGGCTGGGGGTGGCAGTGACTTTAGTGTCCAGGTGGGCCCTGTGGGTGCAGGCCCCCGCCCCCGCACCCCTGCACCGGGGGTCGGAATGGTGCCCCAGGCGCCAGTGAGAGGGCCTGCGTCCCCCTCCTCTCACCTTGGCCTCGGTTTGCAGCTTGTCTGGCCCTTGAATTCCAAGGTGGCTGTTTCCCATGTGTTTGTGATTTGTGAATCCCCCTCGGGAGGTGCTCTTCGTGAGGTTTTAACAAGTCTCATAAACGGCGACACAAAACAGCAAAACATCTTTTTAACAACTGCCTCCCATCTTTCCAAAGTCCTCCTCCCTAGACGGGGCTGGCCCACTTCCTCCCGTGGCTGCTGCTACAGGCTCCAGCCACGCGGCCCTCCAGGTGCAGGCTCCTGGGCACACGCAGCCCCGCAGAGAAAATCCTGGGCTGGGCCCCGCCCCCCGCCCGCTGCTCCTGGCTGGGTGGGGCTGGGCTATACTACACGGGTCCCCAGTGTGAAGAGAGAGATGGGATGTGGGGGTGGGAGCAGAGCTCAAGGCAAGGCAGGCACACTTTCTCCCTGGACCTAACCCATCGCCCCAAATCCCTCACAGCACATGCTCCTGCTGGGACCATGGCCTTGAACACTCTGATGCTGGCCTTACGGACAGAATTATACCAGCAGGAGGCGGGGTCCAGGCGGCTGGGTGAGGCGAGGAAAGCAAGTACTGAGAGCTGGACACAGCGGCCCCTCCACTCCCCAGGGGAGACCCCGGCTCCCCGCCGAACCAGCCCGGGGGCCTCGAGCTCTCCCTCCGAGAAGTCCACCAGCTCAGCACCTGAAGGTCCCCAGACCCTCCGGAGACAGCGAAGTGGGGAACCTCGAGTGTCTCTCTCTCTCTGTGTGCCTCCGTTCACTGGTCTGTAAAGGCGTGCTACCCACGGCCCCAACCGCCCTCGCTGGCTCTGAGGACTACACAAGTAACAGCCGGCAGGCGCTGAGAACAGTGCCTGGCCCGTGGAGAGTTAGACCAACTGCTCTCAAAGCAGAGGGCCGAGATGGCCTATGGGGTGGACGAGGCGAGGAGGCACGCCCCCGGTACCTGGCTGAGGCCCCCGGCTAAGCAGGGGCGCGGCCCAGCTCCCCCTGCCCCCCAGAGCCGCTGAAGGCAGTGCCAGGAGGTCCCTTACCTGCCGAGAGGAGGTGCTGTTACCGGGGTCCGGCACCGGGGCCAGCAGGCCGGGCGGGTTCTTTTTGTGAACGTTATTCATACCAGGCATTTTAGTGATCTTACAGCCTTTGCTACTAGAACTCGAGTTCTTACGCTTTTTTCCTTCTGATTTGTCAAAAGAGAGGGGCAGAGAAGACACGGCATTGTGTGAGGCCAGAGAGAGGTCCCCCGCGTGCAGCGCGAGGGAGGGCACAGAGAGGGGACAGGAGTCGCTGCTGCCGCCCACAGCGCCCACCTGTCTCGCTAGGTCCGCGGGGCCGCCGGGCAGCGGGGTCCGTCCTGAGGGCTCCAGTTTGGCACCGAGTGGGCTCACGCCATTGTTTGTGTTGTGCACAGACAGACTGTTGTAGGGAGGGCCCGGCTGATAGGAGTTCAAAGCTGAACTGGCATTCAGCACACAGTTCTTTCTGTGGGGCCCTGACAATGGAGACGCGAGGGAGGTCTGCAGGGACAAGGAGGAGGAGGAGGAGGAAGAGGTGGAGGAGGAGGAGGAGGAGGAGGAAGTCGAAGGCTGCGGCTTCCTCTTTTTGTTACTTGGAGACTCGTCGCTACGGGCGGACAGGTCCTTGACTTTGGAGGATTTGCTGGTTTTGATTTTGGATGGCTTGTGGGATGGGGAAGGGATGACGGCTGGTACCGAGGACACGGCGGATGGGGCCTTGAAGGTTGAGTCCATGATGCTGAGGGTTGCGGCCACATGGGGGAAAGCTGGGGTGTGGGACATGAGGACGCGCGGGTCCGGCGATGCCACAAAAGCTGCGTCTGAGAGCATGGCTGATGTCATTATGTAAGAAGAGGTGAGTCTCGAGCTGATGGGAGCTGAAGGCAGATACACAGCACTGGGGTTGCTGAAAGGCTGCAAAACGGATGCTGGCACGGGGGTGGTGATGTGGGCTGCTGGCGAGGGCATGGGGCTATCTGCCGCAGGAGGGATCTTCCTAAACACGAGAGAAGAGTCAGAGAGAAACAGTGAGACGGCGGCCGGCGCTGTGCGGGAGGCGCGATGAGGCTTGAGCACAGGGCTACAGAGAACACCCGGCAGCACCAGACGATGGAGGATGGAGCCTGGAAGGATGGCGGGTCGGAAGCATGGCCCTTCCTCACCGAGCCCCGTGCAACGCTCAGCGGTGGATCCCTTTTGGGTTTTCAGATCCCTTTCTCTGTGCCTGGCTACCGGAGAACGGCTGACTCGGGTTCATGAGTGAAAGGCAAACGTTATTTAGAACATCAATTTCCCTAGTGGGATCCCCCTCCTCCCCACTCTCATTGATTTTTTTGGGGGGGAGGGAGGAGTGTCGGGGCAGTAACAGAGGTGGTTTCTAAGGAAAAGGGGATATTTCCTGTTTCGATCCTGGTGTGCAGTAAGAAGCGAGGACAGGGCTTAGCCACCTGCACAGGTTGCCTGGAGCGTCCCCGTCCACCACTGCAGCTCGTCCTGTCCTCTGCTTGCCCACTCTACTCTTGGAGAGGGAGCTACGAAGTCCCTCCCCGCCCCCCTGCATTTGCTGTCTGCAGCCCTGCTGTTCTCTTCAGAGGCATCGCTCATGGCCACTGGCTCCTAGTGGGCTCAGGAGATGACACAGAAACACGACCGATTTCACCCCCACCCTGCCTTCTCTTTCACCCAGAGGAGCCACCCTGGAGGTGTGCCTGCCCTTTAGCAGGTCTCCTTGTCCCCATGTTAGGAAAAGGTAAGAGTGCAGGGACCCTCATGTGTCCAGAGAAGGGGGCAGGAACTTCTAGTGGGTTCTGAAGATACGTGCCGGCTGTGGGTAGCAGGAGGACATGGGATGGAGAGGGGAAAGCTGCTGTTTTCTTTTTCAGTCTCCCTGGAACTTGGCGGGGGTGCCTGAGAGCAAACTCCCCGAGCCGAGGCCAGCACCAAGCAGCAGGGCCACTCTTGGGATCTCTTTGCGGACCGTGTCTTGACTTACACTGAAACAGCTCTCCCTTCCGATCTGTGGCTGGGGCCGCCCCTGCTGCTGCTCTGGGGTTGGAGGCTGCAGGTAGGCATGGTGGCTGTGGGGTCACCATTGCTTCCTGATTTTGCCAGAAAGGAGCCTGAGCTTGGAAGCCATGCGTGTTGTCAGGGCGCTGGCATACCCAGCTGTAAGGAGCCCGTCTTCCTGCTCTGACAGCAGCACTTGCAGGCGGGCCGCAGTGGGAGACAGGGCCTCATGCAGTTCCTTGGGGGCTACCCTCCCAGCCGTAGCACCAAGCCTGGGTGCCAGGACACCCTGGTCAGCGGTCACTGGAAGCATAAATGCCTCTGCAGAGCCCCTCCCTGCCTGCCTGGGCTTTGGTGGAGCCGGTAGCTTCTGTCTGTAGGTGGGGGCCAGAGGAGTCCTCGGGCTCAGTAACACAGTGCCCTTGACTGTATCAGAGGGAGGAGATCAAATACAAGAGAAAAATGCTGCCGGACCCACAGCAGCCATGGCGCTGTTGGAGGACTTACTTTCTCTCAAGGCTAAAGAACGTAACCGATCCTGTGGGCACTAAAGGTGCTCCAGACGTACGAGTTGCAATGAATGGATGCGTGAACACATGGATGGATGGATGGGCAGATGGGCAGGTGGATGGTGAGCAGCAACATAACCGTACTGTCCGGGACGAGGCATGCTGGGCAAGGACTCCCAGGTGATGGGCCTGTAAGGTCTACACGCAGCCGCACGACTGTCTGGCACTGCACAACCCTTCCTCACTGGGCTAGGCGTGAGGCAGCAGCGCGCTTCCCTGCTCTCTTTGTGGCCTTGTTGTGCTAGTACAGGCATCCCACGCAATCTTTCCTCAAGTCCAGGTTCCTCACCAGCTGAAGGGGAGATGGCAGGACTCGTGGCCAGAAGTCGGCAGCCATCTGTGGCGAGGCGTTATTGACAAACGCCAGACGGCTCATGTGGAGAGGACCCTGACGGGGTCTACTTTGCTTGTCCTGATTTACAACATCGCCGCTCACTTGCACTGGCAGGCAGAGCTGCGGTCCTAGGTCTCAGCTGGCTCTTTCTCTTGGGAATTGGGTGGGTGCTATTTGGGGGATGCCTGCTGCCCCTTCCCTCCTTCTCCCCAAGAAGTGGGGCAAGTGTGGGGCAGCTCACTGTCTCCAGGAGCGCCGTCCCCTGGTGCCAAGCAGTTCGTGTGTCTTTCTGGGTGCCAAAGGGCAGTGGGTTTGGGCTGGGTTGGGCTGTTGTCCCCGTTTCAAGCTCTGCACCCTGGCCTGGGGAAGTCCTGTACAGAGCCCACAGATGCGAATGCATTCCATCCTCCCCCGCCAGCTGGCGTGGAGCTCCAGATGCTGACCTGGCTGAAAGAGAATACTGTGTTGGCGTCTCCTGATGCAGAGTTAAATGCTTGTTAAAGAAAAAAGAGTCTTGACCGTTCCTTTTCTTCCTAATGTCTTCCACGCCCCCATCGGCTGCCATCCCTCCAGGTTCGGGCCCGTCGGGGCCTGGGGTTTGGGCAGCGAGGCTGAGAGGGCAGCGGGGTGCTACGCTCTCCAGAGTTGACACCCAGGCAGCCCCAATGTTGCTCAGTGACAGCAGATTGGTTAGGCAAGTCCTGAACAGAGGGGAGGGACCTGACGCCCTGTGGCTCGGGCTTCTGTGCCTGAGGAGGAAAGGAATAGGGAGCGAAATACAGATCAACACATTCCTTCCACGTGCCCTGGATCCACACGTCCACGACAGAGCGGGGCCGGCGCGTGGCTGGCTGCCGCCTCGGGGAACGAGCGCAGGAGGACCACACCACCAGTCACGGAGAACACGGGACCCCCGCATGCAGCGCCCACTGGCTGGGGAGTTGAGTGGACACAAATGGAGATCGTGGGGTGCCCTTTAGACACACCAGGCAGGCCCAATACGAGGCAAGAAATGACAAGCTTCTCTTGTGGCCCTCTCCTTCTTCATCGGGAACGTCTACTAGGTCCACCGTGAGAGCATGGCCTGTGTCCTGGGAGATCGGGGCTGGAAGCTCTGTGGGCTGTCCCACAGAGGACCAGGGTGCTACAGCTGCCCGGGGGAGAAGGGAAACCTGGGAAGGGGCCAGTGTGGGGTTCCATTCCTGCCTGTTCCCTCCCACCTCCTGGGGTCTCCCCGGGCAGGGGCGGAGTCTGGGTAGGGGTAGGGTGGCCCAGCCTTCTGTGATTCCGTCGGCCTGTGACATCTTGGGAGCTCCTATGTGCAGGAGTAGGGCAAGGGGACACCAGGAGGGCTGGCCTTATATTGCCAAGGGGGTGGACAGGGTCTAGGCCTATCCCTCCTTCACAAGGGCATTCTAGCAAATCAAAGTGTCTTCCCTATTAAAATGCAGGTACATTGGGAAGTATTAGAGACTAAAGAGACCTTAGACAGGTGGAAGTTTAAGGGTAAAGAAGTATACATGGAGGTGAGCAAGGGGTCCCAGGGAGATGGGAGGGGCCAAAGACAAACTTCACCAACTTCACAACAACATTGCTCAGGATCTGCCCTGTTGGCAACCATACGTAATTTTTCACAGGACAGCAAACAACTAGACAGTGGTCCACAATCATTATGAAACCTTCGATATTGACATTAGAGCATTAACTTAAAAACAGTAGCATATTCCCAATGCCTTTAGATGCTCAATAATAATAAGAAGGCCTTTTACCACCACCGTTAAGCAAGATCTTGTCTCCTTTTCATTTAGTTCACAAGACCATTAACCCCAAAGTGACCTCCGGAAAAAACAGAGGGCACAACATATCATGCGTGCTGGAGAAGGGCGGGCAGTGAAGCATCAGGAGCGAATCCTGGTCTCCGGATCACTCCGACCTAAGAGGAGCCAAGCACTGCGTTTTATGTGGGAAGTCGGGGCTCAGAGAGTCGTGGTGCAGCTCTGACCGGACAGCGTACAGAAAGCGTCACTTACTTCCACATCTGTGAGTTCAAGTGTTTTTCTACCATGGAGTTTAGTGCGAATCGAAAACGATCCCATCTTCTATCAAACACATAGTACCCTCGTCCCATGAGGCGACTCCCGAATGAGCAAAACTGTGAGAAAAAAACATTTTAATTTTGATTACAGGTTAATAAGCTAATATAAAGCATACAGAGAAAGATAACATTTGCATAAAAACACACAGGGGCACAATTGTACTCAAAATAAAGAAGCAAATGGTACGGGAGCCAAAAATATCTCTGTGGTGCTGTCATCTGAGCTGGGTTTCCTGCCGAACCTTGTGCCGTAACTCAACAACAGCTATGTTCCATTTCCTGCGGCGCTCACAGCTACGCTTTCTACTCCTAGGACTGAGCCAGCATGTGAGGTTAAACGAACCCCCACCGACTCCAGCTCCCTGCAGCTGGTTCTCGGCTGTCTCCGTGAGGAAGACATGCTTCTCTAACTTGTCATCACAGTCAGAGACTGCCTGCCCGGGGGTCCTCAGTCTCCTGTTCTGATCCAACATCAGCAGAGCCACCTCACTTCTGATAGGCTGAACACGGTCGCTGCTCACACCTGACCCTCACTGCCACCTCCCAGCAGCCCTTGCGGGCTGCCCAGGAACAGGTCATGGCCTCCAAGCTTTCCCTCATGTGGGTCCCTCTGCCTGTAGGCTCCTTCCCTCTCCTCCTTGTCAATCACACTCCCCCAGGCCATAATCAACATTCTCATTGCCAATTGGCCCTCACCTGACTGGTCTTCCCACCAGCACACCTACCACATCCCTGATTACACTTCACCCCGGCGTCACTGGACGGCTGTTTTATGGGATATAGGCCTACGTGCCTGACTCAACTGTCACGTACAGACACTGGGGACCCCTCCTCAGAGTGAGCACAGTAGGGATTTTCGCTAAAGAACAGACTCACAAAAGAACAAAGCCTCCCAAAATGTCTAAAGTAAACCATGACACTTAAAACACAGGCTGAAATACGGACCACTGGATGTTTGATGAACACTGTTTGATTATGCTGTGAGGACAGCCAGAAGGTGATAGCCATGCAAGAGGCAGGTCCCTGGGAAGTGACATCTGGCTGAGTCAGAGCTCAGGTGAGTGTGCAAATGACCTGGAACACAAATGCGGCTTCTGCCCCTCCTCCGGGCCTCACACCAGCTCCCTGGCCTCCATCCCGCATACAGTGCCGAGTTGGCACTCGTTCCACGAACCCATCCTGGAACCAGCCTTTGCAGCAGTTCTCAGGAGGCAATGCAAGGCCTTCCTTGTTCTGCTTCTGCTTGTGTCTCACTTTTTTTTTTTAAAGATTTATTATTTTTTAAAATTTATTTGAAAGGCAGAGTTACAGAGACGCAGAGGCAGAGAGAGAGAGAGAGAGTCTTCCATCCACTGGTTCACTCCCTAAACAGCTGCAACAGCCGGAACTGGGCTGATCCAAAGCCAGGAGCCAGGAGCTTCTTCCGGGTCTCCCATGTGGGTGCAAGTACCTAAGGACTTGGGCCATCTTCTACTGCTTTCCCAGGCCATAGCAGAGAGCTGGGTTACAAGTGGAGCAGCTGGGACTTGAACTGGTGCCCATATAGGATGTTCGAGCTCAGGTGGTGGCTTTACCCAATACGCCACAGTGCCAGCCCCTCGGGGGGTCTGCAATAGTCTTGTCCCCCATCAGATCTGGTTCTGCCGATGAAGAGCGCTCCTCTGCACCCTCATAGTAAGTTCTCACTGACACGGCAAGGAGACGGGCAAGGAAATTCCCCAAAGTGGACGCTGGGCTCCAGCAGCATGTGGGAGCTGCTCAGGTCTACACCTCATTTCTTCCTTTGACTTAGTTGCTAAAGGCACACCGAGCAGAATTTGTACAAAACATGATTCCACCTGTCAAGTGGCCATGAGAGGAAGGACAAAGCAAAGAAACGAATCCCTGGCCTTTCCACTTAGACCAGCATACACGCGTGTGCCATGTCCGGTTTAGCTGGTAGCGTGTCTGTTGACTAATGTCTTGATGCACTCCGGAGTCGGGCCTTCTGGTCAGACTTGGGAGCTGGAGACAGGTCTCCATCTCCACACGCACGCAGGGCTGAGGGGCCCACCGGCTCCTGGAGGGCACCTGATGCCCTCGGCAGAGCTGCGGCTCCTCGCTGCGGGGTCACTCTGGCAGACTCTCCTGGCCGCTGACGTCAGCAGGCCCACACGTGCACTCTGCTATCCGACGGCAGCAGTTGACGGGCGCCTGGGCGGGAGTCACGGCTGGTTTTATCCGGTGTCACTGCAATCCCTCCCTTCTCCGCACAGGTCAGTCTGGGGCGGGCATGGGACTCATCGGACAGATCCAGAATGCTGGGGGCCTTCTAGGAAGGTTTTCTCTCGTAATAAAAGAGGTCGTGGACGGCGGCCCCTTTTCTGTCCCACTGTGCACAGAACGCAGCTGGAGCTGTCACAGGTGCGTGCATGCAGATCCCGCACGAAGGGCGAGGAGAGCGGCAGGTTCTCCCTCCGCTCTGTGACATCGTGCTGAAGCTGAGCAAAGCCTGAAAGCAGCCCTCTCTAGACCTCTCGCTATGTGACACGACGAGATGACCTTGACGTCTGCCTGCTGTGAGCTGAACTCCCAATTACTGACAGGCAAAGGCATTCCTCATGGGCCCTGACTCCTTCTGCACTCACCCGGGGGTGCGGCCTCAGGCTGTGGGTGAGCTACAGGTAAGCACCACCCTCAGAAACAGGAAGTGGATCTGCCCTTCACTTACTCGGAAAGGCGAAGGGGCTCACGGGATCTTCCTGCCTACCCGGTCCCTGGACGCTAGAGATGGGCAGAGCTGACCCAGCAGGGCTGAGGCTGGCGCCAGAGTAGCCCACCATGGGAGCCCCGGCTCCAGGCCCCCTTGCCAACAGCACCACCCGGCACCCCCTGGCAAACAGAAACACCTGGATTTCAATGTGAAGCGGACTCACTCAAGGAATTGGAAAGAAAGCTCTGGTCCTGTCCCTCAGTAGCCACGAGGATGTGACGTGCTTCCCCTTCTCCTTAACCCCCACACCCACACTCCCTCGGCTCTGCTGCCACATGCTCACACCTGCTAACGGAGGGGACACGCTGACATGCTGCTAAGGCGATGATTTCCAGGCCAGGTGAGCCCGGCTAACTCCGGACGTCACAAGCTCCATTTTTAGATGGGCAAGGCCAGCAGGCCGGCTCCCAAGGGCACTTCTACAAATACCGCTTCCCAAGCACTCTTGCTTCCAGGTGGGCTGCGACACTCAGGCCTTTAAAGGCTCTGATCAGCCAGGAGCGTCTCCTTTCCCTCTGTGATGTTCAAGGGCATTTTCAAGAGACTCATTCAAATTCAGAGTCATAAGCCTTTAGGTAAAACACTGTTCTGCAACGTTCCCTTTGGATATCCGAATGCCTGCAAAGTACGGAGTGGGGGTGGGAGGGACCCGCGAGACGGAGGCCTACCGCAAGAGGTCTGGGGTGGTGCGTTGAGAACTGACAGTCTAACTTCTCAGATTCCTCAGTTGCGTCCATCTCCCCTTCATCACTGGACAGTCGGCTGGCGAGGTCACCTCCGACCAGGGCCACAGCGGGCTCTGGAGTGTAGCCGCTGTGATTTGAAGACGCGCTGCTGCTTATGCTGTTTGCAGAGGATGGTCTACGGGCAGGAAGGGAGAACCAGCAGAATGAATTTCCCGAGGCACACTGGGAAAGGCAGGTGGGTGGCGACTCTGCACTGGAGGGGCAGCGCGGCGGTGGAAGAGCTAGCAGTGACCCCCAGAGTTGGGTTCCGCCCTGGCGGCTGCCCACGGGGTACAAGGCAGTCTCAAGGGAGAAGCCCAACCCTGGCAGCAGGGAGTGACAGACTTAAGCGAACCTCACACTCATCTGGGAATTCGTGCCAGGCTGGTCTCCCAGCTGCACGTCTGTAATTTGTACTTGCCTCAGAGTTGCTTCCCTCCGGAAGTGAGGCCTGACAGGAGGCCACCCAGGTGATCAAGATCAGGCTGAGTCCCAGGAATGCAGAAACACCCTCCCAGAACAGCTTCTCCGTTACCAAACATGGCTGTTAGGAAATCATGACGGTCCTGGCATGGAAAGGGTTTTGTCCCAGTGCTGGGCCACTTGTCCCTCACCACACAGCCACGTCTGTTTCTTAATGCCATGCCATGGATGGCTTAATTGTATCTTCTGAGGCATTTAAATAAAAAAAAAAGTTATTTCCTTTGTTCATTTGAGAGTGGGAGAGAGAGAGAGAGAGAGAGAGAGAGAGAGAGAGAGAGAGGAGAGAGGCAGAGAGAGGGAGAGAGAGAATAAGAGAACTCCCATCCTCCGGTTCATGCTCTGAATGCCCCCAGCAGCCAGGGATGGGCCAGCTGTAGTTAGAAGCTCAGTCCAGATCTCCTAATGTGGTGGCAGAGAGCCAACCTTGAGCCATCATCACTGCCTCCCAGGGTGGGTATTAGCGGGAAGGGAGAATTAGGAGCGGGGCTGGGATTCAAACCCAGGCACTCTGATACTGGGATGCCAACATCTCAAGCACCATGTTAACAGCTAGGCCAAATGCCCACCCTGAGTATTTCAGTTTGATAATTTCCTTCCTTTCTCCCTCCCTCCCCTCCCCTCCCCTCCCCTCCCCTCCCCTCCCCTCCCCTCCTTCTTTCTTTCTGGATTTATGTATGTATGTATGTATTTAAAAGGCATAGTGATAGAGAAAAGGATTGAAAGCAAGAGGGAGATCCTCTATTCCCTGGTTCATTCCCTAAATGGCTGTGACAGCCAGGGCTGGACCAGGCCAAAGCCAGGAACCTGAGCCTGGAAGTTCATCCGGGTCTCCTACATGGGTGGCAGGGTCCCAGGAACTTGGGCCATCCTACACTCCCTTCCCAAGCACGTTAGCAGGGAGCTGGACTGGAAGTTGAACAGCTGGGACTCAAACTGGTGCTTTGACAGATGACAATGGCATTTCAGGTGGCAGTTCAACCCACTGCACCACAACGCTGGCCTCAGTTTAATTCTCCACAAGCCACTTCACCCATTGCCTAGCATGGCTGGCTCATGGAAGCATTGGAGAGAGACTTTCCTCAGTGAAGGAATGAATTAATTCCATGTGTATAAAACAATCTAACAGATGGCATCTCAATTACAGCTAAGCTTATAAAAAAAGCAACATTACAGTAACAGGTAGCACGACATGTTCCCAAGCAATAAAACAAGGCAAAGTAAAACCAAATGCAGTCACGTTAACAGAATAGTTAGAAGACAAATAGTTGCCGTTAGTTCTTAGTTTGTACTAACTTCTCCAGCTCACCACGTTGACTGATGAGGGAGAGACAGCAAAGTTGGGGGAACTTCGGAGGAAGAAAATCAAGACAGGGAGCCAGTGTTGAGGTGCAGCAGGTTAAGCACCATCTGTGATGCTGGCTCCCACATCTGAGCGCTGACTGGAATCCTGGCTGCTCTTCTTCTGATCCAGCTCCCTGTGCCTGGGAAAGCAGCACTCACACGGAAGACCTGGATGGAGTTCCAGGCTCCTGGCTCAGCCTAGCCCAGCTCCTGGTCATTGTGGCTATTTGGCGGAGTGAACCAGCAGGTGGAAGATCTCTCTCTCTCTCTCTGTCTCTCTGTCTTTCCCTTTCTATCATTCTGCCTTTCAAGTAAATAAAATAAATATTTAAAAAAATAAAGATGAAAGCAATTGCTTTTTGTTTTGTAAGCTATCCCTTGATGTGACACAAGGCATTGTTGAACAGTCTTTTTTCTCATTTTTACTCTGGATTCGTTAACTTCAGTTACTTTGCTTTGAAAATTGATTTGAGATATTTTTGGGTCCCAAATACCTGAATTAATTCAAACCAGATTCCAAAAGCACAGCAACTTAGAAACAAAGCCACATACCCATCAATATATGGCTAAACAAATGACATTCTATTGCATGGGAGAACAGAATATGGTATGTCCATTCAGTGTGTTACTCCAGCCTTAAATAGGAATGAGATCCTGAAACAGGCTGCAGCATGGGTGGCCCCAGAAGGCACCAGGCTGAATGAAACAAGCTAGACACAAAAGACACAACTCCAGTTCTGTGAGGGACCTGGATAGGAAGGAGAACAGTGGGTGTTGGGAGCAGTACAGTTCCCACTGGAGGTGAGGGAAAAGCTCTGGTGATGCATGGTGGCACGGTTCTACTACGCCACGAAACTATACAATCAAAAGTGGTTGAGAAGACAAATTTCATGCTACATATATTTGGTCACAGATAGTTTTTCAGTGTCATTGCAGTAATTCTCTTGGGTGAGTGGGCATTGTGGCATAGTGGGTTAAGCTACTCTTTGGGATGCCTGCGTTCCATATTGGAGAGCCTGGGATCAGATCCTGCCTCCACTTTCAACCTATCATCTGTTAATGCTCCTGGAAGGCAGCTGATGATGGCCTAACTACTTGGGCTCCTGCCATCCACGTGGGAGACCCAGAAAGAGTTCCTGGCTCCTGGCTTCAGCTTCACGCAGCCCTGGCTGTTGCAGGCATTTGGGGGAGTGAATTGGTGGATGGAAGGTCTCTCTCTCTCCTTGTATTTCAATCTGTCATTCTGCCCTTCAAGTAAATTAATTAAACAAAAGACATCAAAAAGGAATTCTCTTGGGATGACTATCACCTTCCACATTAAAAAAAATAAAGATGCCATTCATTTTGCACACTAAAAGCCTACAGTCCAAAGGACTCCATCTTCTAGGGGCAGACATTTGGTGTCCTGGTTACGATGCCACTTGGGATACTTGTATCCTATATTTACTCTTGACATCGGGTTCCTGCTAATGCATACCCTAGGAGGCAGAAGGGGATGGCTCAAGTACTTGGGTTCCTGCCACCCACATGGGAGACTTAAACTGAGTCCACAGCTCACGACTGTGACCTGAGTCCGCCCAGATGTTGCAGACATTTACGGAGTAAGTCAGTGGATGAGAAATCTGTTTCTCTCTTTCAAATAAATTAAATAAATAAAAATAAAATAACACATTTTCAGGCATTCCTCAATACCGACTCTTCTGTATCAGGAGGGGCAAAACACTGTTGCCTATTGTGACTGAAAATCCAAATAGTAAAACAATTCAGATGCTGAAAAATTTAAAGAAAGAAGAAGGCATCCTGCTATTCAAGATCAAGTACTACTAGCAGCTGATTTACATTATATCTCTTCAGACTTTGTTACTGTGCAAACATGCACAAAGAGCAGAATCACACTGCATACTACTTTGAGACTTATTTATTATTCTTTAAACATTTTATTTATTTATTTTAAAGTTACAGATACACAGAGAAGAGAGAGACAGAGATCTTCCATCTGCTGGTTTACTTCCCAGATGGCTGTAATGACCAAAGGTGAGCCAAAGCCAGCAGCCAGGAGCTTTATCCGAGTCTCCCATGTGGGTGGCAGGGGACATACTTGTGCCATCTTCCACTGCTTTTCTCAGGCCAATAGAAAGGAACTGGATCAGAAGTGGAGCAGTTGGGACACGAACTCTTTTGGGAAGCTAGTGTTCCAGGAAATGACCTTATCTGCTATACCACAACGCTGGCCCCTTGAGACTTATTTTAAACCTGGGATGTTGTTGAAATCTTTCCAGGTAGAAAACTCTATCATCAGGGTGGGTGCTGTGGTGCAGCAGGTAAAGCCAAAACCTGCAGTGCCAGCATCCTATATGGGCGCCAGTTTGAGTCCTGGTTGTTCCACTTCCAATCCAGCTCCCTGCTATGGCCTGGGAAAGCAGTAGAAGATGGCGCAAGTCCTTGGGCCCCTGCACCCATGTGGGAGACACAGAAAAAGCTCCTGGCTCCTGGATTTGGATCAGTGCAGCTCTGGCCATTGCGGCCAATTGGGGAGTGAACCAGTTGATGGAAAACCTCTCTCTCTCTGTAACTCTTTCAAATAAATAAATAAATCCTAAATAACAAACAAACAAACAAACAAAAAAAAAACAAAGAAAACTATATCATCATTTTTTGATGCTTCCTGGTATTCCCAAGTATTTAGATTTATCATAATTTATTTAACTAATCTGTGATGAACCTTTAAATTGTTTCCAAACTTTCTTATTTACCTATTTATTTGACAGCCTAAGTGATAGAGAGAGAGGCAGGACAGATCTTTTATCCACATCTTCACTCCCCAAATTCACTTCCGCTGGGAAGGCAGTGGAAGATGGCGTAAATACTTAGGCCCATGCTACCCACAAGGGAAACTCGGATGTAGTTCCAGGCTCCTGGCTTTGGCCTGAACCAGCCCAAGCCATTGTGGCTATTTGGGGAATGAACCAGCAAATGGAAGATCTCCATCTCAATCTCTTTCTGTGTCACTCTGCCTTTCAAATAAGCAAACAAACCTTTAAAAATAAATTTAAAAAGGTGAAATGCCAAGGTATCTATATTTAGGTCTAAATACATATAATCAAAAAACAGAGATGGGGCGCTGGATTCTGTCCCACTTGCTCCTCTTCCAGTCCAGCTCTCTGCTGTGTCCCGGGAGTGCAGTGGAGGATGGCCCAAGTGCTTGGGCCCTGCACCCACATGGGAGACTGGGAGGAGGCACCTGGCTTCGGATCGGCGCGATGCGCCAGCTGTAGCACACCAGCCACAGTGGCCATTTGGAGGGTGAACCAA